TTTTTTCGCGAGCTAATTACTAATAATAAAATATATTTAATTTCATATTTTATTAATAAGTACACAGGTTATGATAAATACAGATAATAAATATAGATAAATTCTAAACAGCAATATACTATATACGAGTACAAAAACACAATTACCTGAATTACGTTCAGCAGACCTAAGTGGCCTTTCAATGATTATTATTGAAAGTATTACACGTTTAATTTATTTAACGAAACTATAGTACATGTATTTACACTTTTACAATGGCCTTTCCTAAATTTTTACCCTGCAACATTTCAATAAAGGCCTTTGGCATATTTTCAAAGCCTGTGGTTATTGTTTCCGGATGTCTGATCTTTTTCTGATTAATCCATTGTAACATTTGTGTAAAACATTCATTGAAACGATGAATATATAGAGAACTCTGGAATCCTTGCAAGTGTAAGTTTTTGTTTAAGATATACGGAAATGGGACAGTGACTAAAAATAAAATTTTCAAAATTTTGTGTCAAAGTTTACATATTTTTGAAAATGCACCTTTAGGTGGATCATGAACATAATCAAAATTGTAACTAGAAATGGATCCACATACGGATACTCTACCCTTAATATTCATATGTTTCATTACCGTTGTACTTATTTCTCCAGCAACCTAAAATATATATATAATTAAAAGAATTACTCCATAATGTAAAACTAGCTGAACTTGCATTATCGAAATAACAATCAATACCATCTTTTGCTATTTCCGTCAATTTTTTATCAATATTATCTTTTTTGTAATTAACAAATTTATCGAATCCAAGAACATCGGTTAAATATGACCCCTTTTCATCGGATCCTGCTATTCCAATAACTTTACACTCTTTTATTTTTGCAATTTGTCCCACAAGGCTACCCACTGCTCCTGCGGCACCACTCACACAGACCGTTTCTCCCGGTTTCGGTTTACAAATATCCAAAAAACCAAAATAAGCAGTGAGCCTATCATATAAAACTAATGACCATTTTAACACATAGTACGTACGATTATAAATGCTTACCCAGGCATTCCTAGAGCTCCTAATCCTACACTTAACGGTACATTACCGAAATCTGGTAATACAAATGGTGGAGAAATTCTTGGTCCTTTTCTATCTGGTGCATTACCATCGTTTATTGTGTAGCTGCACCAACCAAAATCCCCAAACACGTACTTACCAACAGGAAATTTGCTATTTTTACTCTCTAAAATTCTTAAGGCAACAAAATATCATGTAACAGACATCCGTCGGTTTTTTTTGTAAAACTTACTTGCCTATTTGTCCGCCTACCATCAGAGATCCCTCAGGTATATTATGAGCATATGCTCTCATATAAGGATCAACACTTAAAAAAACAGCTTCAACTAAGTATTCTAAAAATATGGATACATTATTTTGATTAACAACGGAGTTACATTAGTTTTTTAGAAAAATAAATCTCCGGAGTAACAGTAATAATCTAAGCATTTCTTGGATGTTCCTGGTATATAGTATAAATTACGTAACAAACATTATTTACATGAATTGATACGAAACGCAAATGATATACATTCTGTAAAACAAAGCATAAAATATAAAATATTGTTCATTATTTTAACTCCTACCTCCATCCTTAATAGATGGTAAAGTTTCTTCGACCATTTGAAAATCATTTTCTTTAGGTTCCCCTTGAAAATGTTTAGCTAGTAAAAATTTTTTTGCTACTACCATTTTGTGTACAAATAATAAATACCCATGTACCGCTTGATAACTACAGAAATAAGTACTCGTCTAAACAGCAAGAAATTGTAAAAATAAAAAAAAGCGTTATCTTATTTTTAACGATAAGTGTTGATAAAATAATGATATACATAGTTATTTATTTTTATCTTGGCTTTTCTGTGAAACCACAAACATGTATGTTGATAGAAATTATTCATTTTTAATAATCTTTGAATACAAATAATGAATGACATATACTAGGCATATGAAAACTTTCCTTAAAAAGTCCTTAGTTACAGCAAGCTATTTTTTTAAAAAATTACATAAACTTTATAGTAGAGGAAAACAACATGGTAGATATAGCCAAATATCGTTAATTCACAATTTTGTTTATCATCATTCTGTGAAAATTAATAGCAATCTTTAATTCAACAAAATGCAATAATTTCACTTTTGCACTTCCAAAGCTTATGAAATTTGCTTTTCTTTCTTTCTGGTAAATATGTAGTAGGTTTAATTTTAAATAACCAATAATATACAGCAAATAAAAAAATTAAACATTTAATATAAAATAAATTGCAATTTAATTTAATAAAATGTGTACAATATACAACAATTTTAAAAAAAGTTCATTAAAAACATTGTGCATTACAAACATTTAGTCTGCAAAACATTTTAGTAAGTCTAATAACTGGCAAGACGTACATTATATACGTTATTATACGAATTATTTCAATTAATATGTATCTTGATTAATTGCTTGCTTTATAATTCCTATTTACGTATTNGAAAAGAATATATTGTGGTTATCACATCTTCCAAATTTAAAATTTAAAAACTATACTGTATATATTCAACTAATTTTAGTATATTTTTATTATAACGCTTGAAATTTTTATGTAATTGTGTTCAGTTTAACCAGACGTGCACACGTACAAGTAAAAATTATAGATATGTACCTTGAGTACTTGAATCGTAAGAGATTGTAGAAAAGCAGGCAATTTCATGTCGATGGTGTCAATGTCATTAGAAAATCGTGAAAGAATCCTACCGACAGGAGTAACAAAAAAAAAGGTTGCGGAAGAGCGTAAAATACTTGATAGCAAATATTGATGGAGTTTCTGAGCTCTGGTACAACTACTAATATAAAATCATAATTCTTTTTTTTTTATCTTCATTTTTTTAAGGTCTACTAAAGTAAATTTCATTATGTTTCTGGAAACTGATACTTTTCCAAACCGGCGTCCTTGGCCATTCCATAAAAAATAGACTGTTTATTATACATCAAATTCTTAGGCGTATCAAATTCCATAACGCAACCTTTATCCAAAACTATAACCCTGTCAGAATCCATAATCGTGTTCAATCTATGTGCAATAGTAAGGACCGTGCAATCTTTAAATTCTGTTCTTATAGTTTGTTGGATCAAATCGTCCGTTTCTAAATCAACAGCAGCAGTTGCTTCATCCAAAACTAACACTTTCGTTTTTCTCAGTAGAGCCCGACTCAAACAAATCAATTGTCTTTGACCCACAGATAAGTTCTCTCCCCCTTCAGTTACTTCATGATTCAGGCCAGCAGGAAGTCCTTAAAAAAAATAACGTTGTGGTAAAAGAAGTATTTCTTTTAGTCATATAATTTAAACTAAAAATGTACCTTTTACGAAACTTTTCAAATGTGCAAATTCCAAAGCTCTCCAAACGTCTTCGTCCGAATGTTTATTAAATGGATCCAAATTCATTCTTAGGGAACCTGAGAAAAGCACTGCATCTTGAGGAATAATAGTTAATCGCGACCTTAGATCATGCAGGCCTAATTCAGCAATCCTTATACCATCAATGGTAATTTCTCCTTCTGCTGCTTCCACTATCCTAAAAGAACAAAAATATTTAATATGATGTTTCACAAATTAAAAAACCTTTCAGTTTCTCACCTAAATAAGGCCAACGTTAGACTGGATTTTCCAGCTCCTGTCCGTCCAACAATACCTACTTTTTCTCCACCTTTTACAGAAAATGTTATCCTTTTAAGAACCAATTCTAAACCAGGACGATAACGAAGAGAATAATTATTAAATGACACTGCACCCTGATCAGGCCAAGATTTGGGTGGCGTTTTGTTAGGTATTTCCCAAGGTGCTTCCTGAGGAGTTTCGCCATATTCTTTTATTCTTTCTACAGCCACAATGTTAGTTTCAACATCTGACGTCATACGGACGAGCCAATTCAATGTTTGAGTAATCTACAAATGTTTTACAACTTAAAATTTCTGAAGATGTGATGAAAATTAGGCTATTCTATTCTACCGAAGTAAATTATTTTATTAAAGTGTAATATCATCTCGAGACATATTAGAGATAGAAGCAGGAGTTAAGAGGAATAGAGGTAGACCTAGATTAGATTACTGTTTGTAAATAGTTAAGGATAGGGATAGTGGGATGTTCTAGTTTCCGGGAAATGCGAAAGTTAGGTCAGGATAGAAGAGAGTGGAGGTGCTTGTCCAATCAGTCTTAGGACTCACGACTTTAAGATCAATATCATATCAATAATATTTTTTTACCTGCAAGGCGTAACTGATCGATAAACCGACCAACCCAGCGTTTTGATTTCCTTGAACAGCGAATAAAGCAGCAAATAATATAATTAAGTTGCCCACCATTTCTAGTCTCACAGCTAACCATCGATTTGAAATAATACTGGGAAAATAACAAACTTGATTAAGATCAACTTTAGCTTCAGATTCCTTAATGAATCGTTCTTGTTCTCCATAGGCCCGTATACAAGGTATCCCTGCCACAGTTTCGCCAAAATGTGAGTATATTGGAGAACGGGATACTGATTCTAATCTCTTCAATTGTCGAGAGGTCGCTACATAGAATCTTTGAATAAAATAGTAAAAAATGCCAATAGGCACTATTACAGATATGAATATTGGGGTTGTTATGCTGATAACCAATATAGTAGCCAAAACCTAAAAATGCACCTGTACAACCAATTGTCTATCATATTATGTATACGATTTTGAACGATTTATTTAAATATATGAATTTAGTTAAAATATTGCAACAAAAACACATTAAATACTATTGTCACTAAATCCCATAAAGAAATCTACACTTCAATTCACTAATAACTAATTTCACATTTAAAAAGCAGCTATATTTAAAGTCATATTTTAATAGTAATTATCTGGACACAGTTACATAAAAGAAGCGTGTTGTGTTAATTTTCAAAAAAGCAATGAAACATCTTTCGATTGAAAGTTTTTGATCAAACAATTTCAAGACGTTTCCGCAAAGAATGACAAAATGCATGTTTCTATCTACAAAGATCTACATAGGTACCTCAAACAAACAATAAACTCCATCAACGATGTGCCACGGTAAACCGGTATCCATTACTTCAACATCTTTAGAAAACCTGGACATAATTCGCCCAGTAGGTGTAGTATCGAAAAAAGCTAAAGGAGCCCTAATTATACCTCTAAGTAAGAAATTATGCATAGCACGGGCTGCGCACCAACAACCTATCTCGGGCGCTAAGTCAGCTAACGCCACACCAATTGCTGAAAATCGTTTTGTCGATATTAGATGGAAATTTTTAATTTTTTTTCCCAATTACGAAAAGATATTTATATGCATTCTATAAGGCCTGCATAACTTATTTAATACTTCTGTCTATTTAGGTGATAATAATTTTTGCTTTGTTAATAATTAAATTACTTATCATTAACGGATAAGTCACTACTTCGTTTTGTATTGGAATGGCGTATTTTTACAAAGCTGTAAATTAAGCATATATATAATATAACTATGGAGCCGCAAAATCTACACTTATTTCGTTAATATAATATTCACCCAAAATTCGAAAAGAATATATTGTGGTTATCACATCTTCCAAATTTAAAATTTAAAAACTATACTGTATATATTCAACTAATTTTAGTATATTTTTATTATAACGCTTGAAATTTTTATGTAATTGTGTTCAGTTTAACCAGACGTGCACACGTACAAGTAAAAATTATAGATATGTACCTTGAGTACTTGAATCGTAAGAGATTGTAGAAAAGCAGGCAATTTCATGTCGATGGTGTCAATGTCATTAGAAAATCGTGAAAGAATCCTACCGACAGGAGTAACAAAAAAAAAGGTTGCGGAAGAGCGTAAAATACTTGATAGCAAATATTGATGGAGTTTCTGAGCTCNATCTCGTTTGGTAGCATCCACAGTACCGTTTATGTTGGTGCTGTTGTCGTTTGACCAAATACTCAACCAGAAATTAGAACCAATATTAAAGAACTGGTAAATTATATTCAATACAATTGTAGCAACAGTCAGCAATACTCCGATTGACTTTAGATAGTGTAGGAGTAACAAAAAAAAAGGTTGCGGAAGAGCGTAAAATACTTGATAGCAAATATTGATGGAGTTTCTGAGCTCCTTCTAAGGATCCTCGAGCCAAAATAACTCCAGATATACTAAAGAAAATAACTAAAAAATTAAATAATATTACTATTTCGGTTTTCTGTAAGTGTTTCAGAGTATGTCTATACCGTTAACTTTTCTTGGAAAATCAAACGCGTATTATTATCGGCAATTAAAAAACTTGTTTGCTGCAACCAGGAGTAGCAACAAATTTCTTGCTTACAACTGATGCGTAAGCCTCACTACTTTTATTTACAAAAAAGCTAACATAGTACAGCATAGTACTCTGGTGTACATTGTTATCATTATTTGTCAATTAATTATGTACCAAATCTACATTATCATACTTTTTCTGAAACACCGTGTACACTAAATGAGTTATTGAAAACATAATACATACATATAAAAACGTAGCATATTTTAGTAGTAGTTTAACAGATAACTAATAAAATAAAATTACGTTAATTTTATCTAAATATAACTGCCAACATTATCTCATACATTAACCCACTAAAAAATTACTTTCGATTACTTCATGGAGACACGCTAGCAATCACAATAATTTTTCATAGCTTTCATACCAGCATACCGAACTAGCACGCTTTTCAGTCGGTAGTAATTTGAATATTGTAACTCGATTTTAGTAACGACAATGAATACAAAATACTTTATTGTACACGATAATCATTCTGCCACAGTTCTCTTCGATTGGAAGAACTACTCTCATTTACCTCTATTTTTTCCTCCTTGAAGAAGTCACTGCATGAAAAATGATCATTGTGGTCGATGAACTATTTTGTAACTTAATCTTTATGTTTATCATCGTTATTAATCGAAATGTAATGTAACAAAAGACAATTTATGTATATTCGTAATTATTTCTACATGAAATATGATTATTTTCAAATATGTATAAATAAAAACATTTTATTTCATTCCATTCTTGTTTCCAAAAAAAAATAAAAATGTGATGATGACAACCACAAAAAGGTATATCCCAACAGTATGGAAGATGTGATAGCCAACATTAAAGCACATCATAACAAAATTTAATCTTTCCACCCTTTCACCGAATATAAATATACATACAAAAAGTAACATTGGGTATTGGGTAACAAAACAAAGTATATACGTAACTCGTTTCAAATGGTTAGAGTTGTGACCTTGAGAAAAGCTGCGCAAATAGAAAGAATACACACTAGGCGTGAGCAAGGCACAAATAGTTTGAACCAGATAAATTATGTTTGAATTTAGAATTTTTTTCGCGGCGCATCCAGGTAAAGAGAAGAGGCATATCTCTAAACGCTTGAAATGAGTTGTAAATGAATACTTTGGGCAACAGCATTACCGTGAGATAACATTTAAATATAACTGCTTGTAATTATTTTCTATTTCTCGATGTTCAAAAATAGCAATAATTACCCCAAGAAAACAATTAAGCCAAGCTCTTATCGTCATTGGTAGAACACTATCCAACACATCAACATCTTTAGAAAATCGATTCAAAATCCTTCCCACTGGTGTAACGTCATAAAACATATTGCAAGAGCTTCGAATAACACTATACAGTAAATAATTATGTAATACGAAAGCCCCATTCAGTGACCCGACAAATAATGCCAATGATGATAAAAATATTGAAATCGCTGAAAATCGAAAAACGTGTCAAAGATAGAAGCGACGCAATGTTACATTAAAACATTATTTTTAATAAGAATGGGTACCGAAAAAAAAATGCATTACTTAAAAGGTTTTCACTAGATTAGATTCTTATATTCTAGGTATATTAGATATTAAGTATATATTTTTATAAATACGTATATAATCACCCAACCTTTTCAAAAAGACACAGAATTTGAAATAAATAGGAAATTAAAATGGCATCGCAACTGTTACATTCAGTAATTTAATTTAGAATTTTTTGTGTTTAATATCGAATTATAAATCACAATAACTAATAAAATTCCTAAGGATAACTCATGCACAGAGAGGTACGAATGTCAGACAGAAAATTTCGTTGTATTTACGAAATGAATTAAGGAACCTTGTAACACCAACGTAAAAAAATAGGACATAAAGTACTAAAGCACCCCAAAATCCCTTCACCAAAACAACACTGAGTGGGGAAGAAAAGCAATAACATAACAAAGCAAAAATTATATTTTAAAAAATAAAACTAACAGCATTCTGGTTTGAGACGACAGCAAAAATAATGAATTACTTATATAGCATATAAAAAAAATGTCAAGAAAAAAGAAAAACCAGAACCGTTTAGAGTATATGTATTTTTGAACAACTTAAGTATTAATTAATGCTTGATGTTTTATGTAAGAAATCAATTATTAATGCATTAATATACAATGAATAATGGTGTTCAATAAAGAAGCAGTTACGGCCAGTTAAAACTTTCAACCAATCAAAACAAGACAACAACGAATTTATGTTTAATTGTCTAAAATGACCAAGTTATACAATATATCACGATGCACAGCAATCTTCTACAATACAAAACAAGACAACAACGAATTTATGTTTAATTGTCTAAAATGACCAAGTTATACAATATATCACGATGCACAGCGATCTTCTACAATACAAAAAATTTAAAAATAATTTAATGTACGATTAAAATGTTTTCACGATTGAGTAAACGACCGTTTATAAAAAAATGTTAATAGAAATTTGAATATTTTTTGGCTCGTTACCTTTATATCTTTTGAATTTTTTTTTGTTGAAAATTAGAAATGATCGTCCACAATACGGTACGCATACGATTTGCAAGTATTGATTATAAGTTAAAGTTAAGATACAGAATCTTTAAATGAATACAACATTTAAACTATATGTTGTAAGCATTTAGTAATTACATGTTTAGCACATTATCTAATAGTAATCGATGACTTAAATTTTAAGGATATTAATTATAACATTTATATTCTCAAAACTTATTCTCACTTTTCTTTAATTACAACATATCTACATAAATAAGAGCATTCCGAAATTATTTTCCATGTTCATTTCAGAGTGAGTTTTAAAATCCATTAACTTTTACGTCAACAAATACCTTCAACTGTTATCAAAAATAATGTACTATGTACGTATGAGTGATGCGCTAGCAAATAATAACTGATCATGCATAAAAATTACAAACAGGCCAACCACGTAATTATTAACTTACGAATAAACAAACTCAACTTACCTTGTCCAATACCTAAAGCACCATACACTCCTAAATAGGTATCTCGTTTGGTAGCATCCACAGTACCGTTTATGTTAGTGCTGTTGTCGTTTGACCAAATACTCAACCAGAAATTAGAACCAATATTAAAGAACTGGTAAATTATATTCAATACAATTGTAGCAACAGTCAGCAATACTCCGATTGACTTTAGATAGTGTTTATAGACGGCCCATTTGACGCTACCCGTTTCGGCCTTTTCAACTTCGATCAACTTTTCCCCCACCAAATCTTGTTTGCTTCTTATAATAGATTCATTAGATTGTGACCTGTTGCGAATACTTTTTTCTACGGAACTGTCGACTGATCTTTGTCGAGTCAAGCTACCGTTTGCTCGGTCAGGTGTTGATTCAGTTCTAGATGAATGACGAGACAGTTTACGAAGAGATTCAACAGGGGCACCAGTAGACAGCTTTTTTAATTCGTCCACATCTAAAAGTTAAGTGATAAAAACTTTTAGTACTTCAAAATATATTAATTAATACATCATATTAAAATGAAGTGTACCTTCTTCAACTTCCTCGTCGGAAACTTCTGCCATGTGTTGATTCAGAAACTCTGCAAACGCTTCCTTACTGTCTAACAATTCTCTATACGTCCCTGTCTCAGACACCCTACCATCCTTTATGACAACTATTCGGTCTACTTCGGGCAAGTAAGTAATACTATGTGTAACAAGAATTCTAGTTTTATCCTTCAACAAGCCTTGAGGACCTATAACCTTCTCAAAAATATGTTTACCAACGTGACTGTCCACTGCACTCAAGGGATCGTCCAACAAATAAATTTCGGCTCTTGCATACACAGCCCTGGCCAAACTAACTCTTTGTTTTTGACCTCCTGATAAATTTATACCCTTTTCACCGATTTCAGTCTGATCACCGGCTGGGAGCATGCTGAAATCAGGCTTCAGAGCGCATGCTTCTACGACTGAATCGTAATATTTCTCATTATATTCCTTTCCAAACAGAATATTATCTCTTAAAGTGGCATTTTGTATCCAAGCTTGTTGGGGAACATAAGCGATTTGTCCGATAGTGTTAACACGACCTTTTATTTTATTCATTTCGCCCACAATTGCCGAAATTAAACTACTCTTGCCCGACCCAACAGTTCCTACAACAGCGATGAGTTCTTTTTTATCAATGCGAAGATTTATATCACTCAGAATAGGATCTTCACCCCAATCGAAACTTCCATTCTCAATGACTATCGGAGATGCTTGAAATAGTCAAAGTTTATCGAAAAATTCGAGTTAAAAATACTGTTACTTACTTTCAGATGGATCATGTTGAACATTATTAGGATCAAGTTCTTCGGCATTCATAAATTTATTTATTCTTTTAACAGATACCCACGTCTAAAAGTAGCAAATAATCACTTTCTAATTTAACGATTCTACATTTTATAAAAAAATCAGTTTTCCTAAGACTGTAAATTTCATTTAATAATGCATTTAAGAGACCAAAACCAAATTATTATTAAAAAAGTTACGAATAAGTCGAGCTAATAAATGCGTTAAATAATGATAAACATTACTGAAAATGAAAAACGTATGTCTCTAAAATTTAGATACATATAAATAAGTTACCATAGCTTACTTGCACCATGTTGGAGATCATCATTGGTAACATGCTAAGAGGAAAGCGCAGTATGTTGAAAAGGGATAGCGATACAAACGCCGTTTCTGCATCAAATACGTTATTTTCATCCACCATTACGAATGTGACAAAAGATACAAGCGATACCTGACATGCAAGAGAGAAAGATGTAGCTAAGCATGAATTATTATTGAAGAAACTGTTTAATGTTAAAACGATTTTCTATTTAGTTTTCCTGCTTGCTTACGTTTAAGTTTAATCGTAAGTTTAAAATGAAAATGATAAAGCACCTTTTTGGTTTAATCTTAAACAAGTTAAAATTGGAATAAAACTTTGCTTCTAGCCCACACTTCCCACAACCTTTGAAGGAGTGGAGTAATTATATTTAATTTTACCTCAATAGCATAAACTAGTAGCATCGGTAGAAATGACATAGGCATTTGCATAATGGCAAATAATGTCAAAGATACAAATGCCTTCTGTGGCGTCAGCGTATTACTATCATCAGAACAAACATAAACCACGAAAGTAAGCATTGTTACCTGTATACACATAAAACATTAGAAATAACGTAAACTGAAAAAAAACGTTAACATGCGAGTTTTATATTTCAGAACATTGCATTTATAGTTTTACTAGCTGTAATGCCCGGCGTTGTCCGAGTCGTCCCTGTTGCGGAAGAAAAACAAAGTTTGAAGGTCAGGAATCGAACCACTGATCTTTTAATATTGTTGTGCATGATTACTCATTTTATGCATATACAAAAACGGAAGTCTTTGTTTTGCTCTTATTTTAAGAAATGCACAATAAAAATTGAGATAGCTATTATAGGAAATATTTTTATGTAAAACTAATAACGCCGCCTTAGAGGAAGGAGTCTTAAGTGGAACATCCTATATATAATATATATATATATAAATTTATACTTGACATATACATATATACATATATTTGCATAGAATGTTATTCTTTTGAAAACTAAAACGTACTGAATAACAAAGATAACTGTATTATGTAGACAATGTGCAACAAACATTTACCATAATCAAATGTAATTGTTTATTAAAGATTTAAGTTTTGCAGTTAAATACTCGTTTATTATTTACAAGGGCACTTATTAATTTTTTGTCTATATAATGCATACATCATAAATTATCAGTCAAGGATGCGAACACATTATTTATGAATGATTGAAATTGAGCTGTTACCTAATTCTTCTCAATGCAACTATCGCATAATTTTAGGCTTATTTATATTTACGACTTGAAAATAGTTTATGTGCTTATCAATAATTACAGAGGTAACTTAGCTTTGAAATGCTCCAACATATAGATACTAAATTTATTATAATATGTCCAGAAATAAATTATTTCTTTATAAAACATGTTCAAATGAAATTATTCACAAACTGAACTTACCAAAAACGGCGCACAAGACCAAATAAAAGAAGTACCAGCATTAAGATAAGCAGCTTTTTTGAGCACGTTTATTTCCTTTCCCCTTATTTTAAGTACTTGCTCTTCAAAGCTCGGTTCCCACGCATATAATTTAAGTACCTTAATGCCACTAAGTACTTCGTTCATCAATTTTACTCGTTCGTCTTTATTTTTCATTTGTTTAATTTGAAGAACTTTGGCCTTATTAGCTATAAATCCATTTACAGGTATAAGAACAACCATCACAGCCAGACCAGCTAACACAGACGGTCCTAGGATGTCCCATAGGAAATATAAGGCAAGTACAATTTGTAAAGGTGCAGACCAAAGCATATTTAAATAAGCAGTGAGATCGATAAACTTTTGTGCATCCACTGACATTAGATTCACAATTTCGCCAACGGTGGTCTCTTTTTTGGACGTGTTAGACATGCGCAAGGCTTTCCGATAAATTGCTGATATAAGGGCAGTACGGATACGCATGCCTACTATAAACATTCTGTTAAAATACTGCGAAAGTATGAGCGTTTGGATCGTAGCAGTAGCGAACAATAATATAACGTAAAGGTAACCTTTCCATTGAGATTCTTTATTTTTTACGAAATCGATAAGTAACCTTAAAAATTATAAGTATTAGCCACTGAGAATTAATCATATATTAAAACTCCATCTACGTCTTGTACTGTCACGTCCCATTCGGAACGAAGGTGTAAAAAAATCGAAAAGAAGATACATATTCCAATTAAGGGCAGTCTACCAAACGACACATACAAAATTATATCTGTTTTAAAAACTTAATTGTCATAAAAAATGAATGAGATTACCCTTAATTAAAATTGCTTCTGGTTTTGGGAGAAAATAATACTCACTTTAATATCTGAGGACTAGCAAATGTTAGAATATCTTGAAATAATTTAAGTAATGCTCCAAACAGAAATGTTGGTCCAAATGCTTTCACAAGAGCCGGTAAAACAGATGCCTTCTTTTTCTTCTTAGAAACGTCTATAAAATTAACACTTGCTGAATCCCCTTTGAAGGAAGCTCGTGTATGATGCAACCTGAAACATTTTAATATTAAAAGGAACCTAAGTTATAATATCATAAGAAAATAATCATATAGTCGCGTTCTCAAAAATAACTCTAAATTAAAATAGGTAGATGTCACCTAAAGAAAATATTGTTTTTATAGTATGTATTTTTAATAGTAAATAGGTCATTTTAATTGGAGGTTGGCAATTTAACATAAACCCTAACAAAAGATGGTTCCTTAAAATAATAAATATATACTTGTTTAAAACACGTTTAATTATTAAACCGTAATATTCCAGTTAATGTGAAAAAATTACCCTTCAATTTTCTGCAAGCTCTTTTGCCAATATTTATCAAAAATTGGCACAACTTCCTGGGCACCATCTTCATGTTTCATATCCCACAAATCTGAGACCTCCAAAGGATGTCTGTAACCTTTCAATGCTAAAGCATGAAACCAATTAAAGGTAAGACGTGAAAGAAAACTACTGCCATCTTCTGGACATGGATTCTTAACAAAAGAAAAGAATTTATTAGCATGATTTTTAATCTGTTTGTTATTATTTACTATTTCAAACTGAAGCAGAAACATGATCGTCATTAATTTCAATTAAAACAGAATTTGAGTTACATAATTCATAAACAGATATTGTGTCACTTCTCTATTTTCAAAACTTATCAATGCGTATCAAATATGTATATGTAGACAGTACCTAGTAAAAAATGCATATTGATCAATAAAATAATTTTAAATCAAATTTTCAGTATATGACAATAAGCAAATAAGGTATCTAATGTTTCACATTTAAAAAGAAACAGATGGATATTTGCTTTACTTTATAATTCCAAATATTGGACAAGTATTAAAAATTTGTTCACAAATTAAGAATGCAATTTCAGTTGTCTTTTACTAATACACTTTGTATTATATGCTGTTTTAACAATACCCACATATATAAACACAGTGGTATTCTCAGAATTTTAGTAAACAAAGCAAATAAAATAATATCTACTTATAAGAACAAGCCTTATCTTCTTTTAAATGTAAATATTATTCGCAAAAGTAACAGTCACTGAAAAAAAATTATTGCACAACATTATTACCTGTGATTTAGGATATTTTGTCTTCCTGGGCTCTTTGTCAGCAAAGCAATTTAATAAAAACATTATAATGACTAGACAAAAGTAAATTAAGTAACTTATGTTTACATAGTTGGTATCAGAATGCTCTGATTTAAATTCACGAATTTCCGTCCTAAACTGTGGAATTCCACATAATAGTAAGAAAAACCAAAATAAAAACAACAATCCTGATGCCCGTAATCCATGCTTTTTATTATAATAAACAAGTATTGCTGATAATATCTGAAACAAAAATGCATTTTATAGGGGGACAAAAAATGTTTTCACTATCTAATAGAAACATTCCAATAACTACTTTTTGGTATTACAAGCAATTGTCTATTTAAACAATTACTGAAGGCAAAACATAGTCAACTAAATATTTAATTTATACATACAAAGCTTAAAAGTTTTATCACTGGGGTTGAAATGTCCACATTATAAATAGGATTTTCTTCACCACTATTACTTATTGTAGTTATCAAATCCGTGATTGTCAATACTATTAAAGCACCGGTAGTTAATAGTTTTAATATATTTATAATACTCCAAGGAATATCTTGATTTTTACTATTGGCTATGTAAAAAACTTCTAAACTTGTGAAGATCCATAAGAACAAGCAAGGGACCCATATCAAGACAGTCTGTTCAAAGCATTTTGTAAAATCTGGATCGTCAGTATTCCATGTTAGACTTAAATTCTATAATAAATAAATTCAGCAAATTAAATTATATAATAATTTGAGGTTAATCGTTTTGCAAATTCACACAATTAAGCAGGTCAAGAACAACTTGTCGGCTTATTACTAGCGTGAGAAACAGATTTTTCAACATATAAGAACAACAAATTACAAAACAAAAACTTTACCCAAAATTCTGATCCGCAAAAATTTTCCATTATGTTTTCTGATAGCAACCTAGCACTAGCACTTTGGTAACATTAACATGTCCTAATATCCTTAACCAATATACTAAAAACGCTAGTTTATTGGCAATAATTTAAATAGTTTAAATTTAATTGAACGACTTATGAATGGATTAAATCCTTGAGCACATTTGAAACACTTAGCACGAGTGACTGTTATTAATGCCGTTAACGCGTTAACATTAAATAAGGACAATCGCACAAACCAATCTGCGAGTTTATGAGCCACTCACAATCAGCATAGACAACCACAGCGAACTGACTGCAGGCTGCAATACATACCTTGCAAAATCACTACTAAACTAGAGGCAATATTNCGCACTCTCAGTACTAATTGTCAGTAAAAATATGACTGGATTAATTTCATTTGTTTTATTTATTAATTAAAATAAATGGAATGCATATGATACATATACAAATTATCATTTTATTAGATGGACTCTAGTTGAGATAGAAATAAAAAAACTGTATTCTTTAAATAAGTAAAGGTAGGGATGCATCATTATAGCAATTAATTAAAAGGTCGTTTATGCAGTTTTTTTAATTTAAAACCCGTTCGTAGATGATTTCAAGGTCAATTGCAAAAGATGTCATAATGTGCAAATCTACCTACTTCGATTAAAAAAATCGAAATATGAATGTACTGTATATTGCTCAAACCATTCTAAAATTCCGCTTGACCTATATATTAAATATTATTATTATTATTATTATTTGGAGATTCCTTTACTACCTTAAACGCGGTTTAAATATAATTGAGACTATCTGAACAAATAAACAAGTTATTGATAAAAATAATAAATGTCAACCCTCTGTAATTAAAATTGTTCCTAATATATTGAAGACCCTTTGCATACGTATTACCTAATACCTAATCAATCAAATCATAAGAATAATAGTATGATAAAAAAGGAAATGCGATTCGGGTAACTAGGTTTTAGGGGATATCATAATTAATTAAATGCATAAGATAAGAAAGGTGTAGAAATATTTAATTTTTAAAAAGCATACTTATATAAAAATATTTTTACAGCTATAAAGATGTTAAATATATTAACAAGAGATATTCATAAACACTAAAACAACATATTGTCCTTTAGTAACGTTATTAATAACTTACAACCTTGAGTTGAGCACATTAATTTGTAATTTAAAGGTGTGTAATCTCCAAACAGGAAATATACATACGTAAAGGCGAGTCCGCTTCTATATTAGTTAAAAAAAATTGGAAAATCCATCACAGTTAATTATTTCTATATTTAATAATTATTGCAGAAATATAACAACTATCCATATATGTGCAAATATACAAATTATAATAACGTATTTGTACGTTAACATATCATTTTAGTTGATAGATTCTAATTCTGATCATATTCCAACTAAAAATTTATGTTGTTCACTGCTTTTTAAATGGAACTAACAAGATCTTTTGCCTTGATTGGTTACCAACTCAAGTTGACTGTCAATCGCCATGTTCAGGCTTTCAATAATTAATACTCTATCAGTGTCAGTGTATGCTTCTGCAGCAAAACCTATTTTATATCATTACATCTTCTCAAATGAATTCCATCAATTTCTACACATATTAATTAATCACCATTATAAACAATATAATAGACCGTCGCCTTTAATTAATTCGTTCATAAAGACCTATCCTTTTTATGTTCAATGTTACTTAACTAAACCAGAATGTCTAGCCATGTTGTAAAAAATTGAATTTTTATTAGATAAAAGAGCTGATGGAGTATCGAAATCCACTACAGATCCTCCTTCGAGAACTAGAATTCGATTGGAATCCATTATGGTGTTCAAACGATGTGCTATTTTAATTATAGTGCAATTCTGAAATTTAGTTTTGATCGTTTTCTGTATCAAATCATCCGTTTTCAGATCTACGGAAGCCGTAGCTTCGTCCAGAATCAACACTTTACTTCTTCTTAATAAAGCCCTAGCCAAACAGATTAGCTGCCTCTGACCGACCGAAAAATTCTTTCCTCCTTCTTGTAATTTGTAATACAAATCCGAATCTAAACCTAGAAATTTTGTGATGTAAAATGCACATACTTAGTAATAAAAATGTATACGAGTAGAAACATCTTTTATGAGTTTTAGAGCTAGAGTAGTATAATTACTTTTTATAAAACATTTCATATGTGCATTTTCAACTGCTTTCCAAATTTCTTTATCAGTGTATTTATTATAAGGGTCCAAATTCATTCTTAACGTTCCAGAAAACAAGACAGGATCTTGTGGGATGATAGTGAGTCGAGATCGTAGATCATAAAGGCCTAGAGTAGCAATATCTATATCATCAACAATTATTTTTCCATCTTCCAGTTCCACAATTCTTAAAGATTATGTTTTATTAAAAGTGAACAATTTATTTAATATTTTTTTTTTCTGATATTCATTATTTTTACCTAAACAAAGTAAGTGCAAAACTGGACTTTCCTTCCCCTGTTCTCCCTACTACTCCGATTTTTTCACCACCTTTTATAGAAATACTGAGTCCTTTCAGAACAGGTTTTAAATTGGGTCGATACCTAACCCAGCAATTATTAAATTCAATGGACCCGTTTTCGGGCCAGTCAGGAGATGGAGTCATTTTGGGATCTTCCCAGGATGCTTCCTGTGGTAAATCACCGTACTCCTTTATTCGTTCTACACTTACTATGTTTGTTTCTAGATCGCACATCATCCTGACTAACCAATTCAGATGTTGTGTTATCTGTTTTAAAATAATATATAATTAGGAATAATAGAAATAATACTATTTCTGTACACTCAGTCAAAATAATATTGTAGAATTTCCTATCAAAAAATTTCTGAAACGTTACAAAGCATTTTTGTTTATTTAGGGTTACTTAAAAAATTTTCACCTATGTCACAATAAAATTGATTTATAGCTGTTTGAAAATATGCAGCATATTTTAATTACCTGCAATGCGTAGGTAATAGAGAGACCCACAAGGCTAGCATTGGGCTTTTCCTGTCTAACAGCGAGAATAGCAGCAAAGAAAATAACCAAATTTCCAATCATTTCCAAACGCACTCCTAGCCAACGATTAGATATTATATTAGGATAATGACACCTTTGATTTTCATAAACTTTTTGCTCATTTTCACATATAAACTTATCTTCTAACCCATAAGCTCTTATTGATGACGTTCCAGCCAAAGACTCACTAAAATGGGAATATATGGGGGCTCTTGACATCGACTGGAGACGTTTAAGTTGCCTTGAACTTGCGATGTATAATCTCTGAACAATGTAGTAAATAATACCAAGAGGTATGGCACATATGATAAATATTGGTGTGTTAAATGATATGACAAACAATGTTGCGAGGACCTAAAATTACTAATTAAAATGATTCTGAAATACTGTGGCTGTATTAAAATTACAGATAAAGAAGTAGTGAGAAGTGATTTCATATTTTCTGGCAAGACACTATCGAGTGCATCGACATCTTTCGAAAACGTGTTCATAATTCTGCCTGCAGGAGTTATATCAAAAAATAGATTAGAAGAACCTCTAATTGTATTGAAAAGTAAAACATTGTGTAGAATGTTGGCTCCGTTCAAAGTACCCAAATATAATACAATTGAAGACACGAATACCGAAACAGCTGAAATTGAAGTATTCTTTTAAAAATATTAACTAGTAAAGGTAAAGTTTCTAAATAAACATTGGATCAATTACAAAGACAGTGCAGGTAAATATGAATTAAATATTAGCTGCTTACCTTGACCAAGACCCAGTACTCCATAGATGCATAAATACATGTGCTCTTTAACATTGTTTCCACTTCCATTTTTTATTAAATCTTTATCTTCAGACCATTTAGAAAGCCAAAAGTTGGAACCAACGCTAAAGAACTGAAAAGCTATGTGCATTACTATAGTTGCTAGTATGGTAAAAGTACCAATTGACTTAAAATAATGTTTGTAGACGGACCATTCCACTGTACCAGTTTTAATTTTTTCTGGAGATTTGAATGTTTCTGTATTTAACCCTTTCGTCAACAAACTTTAATATTCCGCAAGTACAATTTGTAAAGGTGCAGACCAAAGCATATTTAAATAAGCAGTGAGATCGATGAACTTTTGTGCATCCACTGACATTAGATTCACAATNTTCAGACCATTTAGAAAGCCAAAAGTTGGAACCAACGCTAAAGAACTGAAAAGCTATGTGCATTACTATAGTTGCTAGTATGGTAAAAGTACCAATTGACTTAAAATAATGTTTGTAGACGGACCATTCCACTGTACCAGTTTTAATTTTTTCTGGAGATATTAATTTTTCTGTATTTAACCCTTTCGTCAACAAACTTTGAAATTCCGATTTCTGATTTACTGAGCAGATCGAAGTTGAAGGAAATAGAAGATCATCCTTCTCTTCTACAAAACAAAATTATAACAAAGTGCAATTTAAAATAACTGTAGGAAAATTACCCTCTTCTTTTTCGTTACTTATTTCTGTCGTGTGGAAAATGATAAATTCTGAGAATGCTCCTTTATTATTCATCAGTTCATAATATGTGCCATTTTCTGTAACTCTTCCTTCCTTCATTACAATAATTCTATCAACATTAGGTAAATGTTTTAAATTGTGAGTTATAAAAATTCTGGTTTTATTTTTCAATATACCATTTGGTCCTATTACTTTTTCAAAAATATTATTACCCACACGGCTGTCTACGGCACTTAAAGGATCATCTAGCAAATAAATATCGGAATTTGAGTACAGCGCTCTTGCAAGACTCACTCTTTGCTTTTGACCCCCTGAGAGAGTATTGCCCTTTTCACCTATTTCAATTTCATCTTTCGCTTCAAACGTTCTAATATCGGAGAACAAATCACAAATTTTTAAAACCGTTTCGTAAAGCTGTTTATCAAACGGTTTCCCTAAAAGAATATTCTCTCGCAAAGATGCATTTAATATCCAAGCCTGCTGTGGAACATAAGCTACTTTCCCTAAAATATTTACTTTTCCACCAGTTTTATTCATTTCTCCTAATATCGCAGATAATAAACTACTTTTGCCAGAACCAACGGCTCCAACAACTGCCGTCAATTTTCCCTTCTCAAATCTAAGATTTATGTCTCTTAAAATAGGCTCCTCGAACCAATCAAAATTTCCATCTTGTATTGATATAGGTGACTCTGAATTCAAACCTACGCAGAATATTTTACACAAAAATATTGATTAATATATAGCTTGTTCCATTAGTAGTAAATAATATTATAGTATTATTTGGGGACCCTAAAGTTATCTAGATAATTGAATTCCATGTTTACGACTTTTTTGCTTTTTTTACAAGTCCTCATCTATATGTTTTAAAATTTAGGAGTTGCAACCGCACTTTTTATTTAATCTATAATCCTAAAATTTTGTTTTGCATATTTTTTTGTGGTTTTAAAATTTCAGATTTAAGAAAAAACGCAGTAGCCACTCGTAAGTTCTAAAACACAGATGATAGCATAACTGTATATAATACCATTAAGAAATCCTTAATTTTAGGCTGTCTAGCAAAGCAAATTTGAAAAGTCCAAAAAACTGTCACTCAAAAACCATGAGACTGCTACAAAACATGAAATTTGATTTTCTAAATAATCTTAGACAGTTGAAAGGTAAATTAAATTAGGTACCATAAAATAAAACTTACTATCGGAAAGACCATGTTTTATATCTTTTTGGCATAATTCTGGCGTATTCATAAATTTATTTATTCTTTTAATTGATACAACTGTCTAAAATGATTGAAAATTAAAACGGTATAGGTATTTTCTTCTTAATTTCAGTACCTACTTGTGTCATTTGCGTAATTAAGGTAGGGAACATGTTTAACGGATAGTGAAGAACGTTAAAAAGAGACAATGATACAAAAACCGTTTCTACATCTAACACGTTTTTTTTATCAAGCAACACGAATGTACCAAATGATGACAATGATACCTACAAAAAGTATAAGTTAATAATAATTTCATTTCAGATCAAATATAATTGATTAACAACATACAATAACTTACAAAAAAGGGTGCGCAAGACCAAATAAAAGAGGTAGCTGCTTTTAACATAGCAATTCGTTTAAGAATCGCGATTTCTTTATCTCGTATCGCTTGAACATTTTTTTCAAAGCTGGATTCCCAGGCATACATTTTTAAAACCTTTATACCAACAAGTATTTCGTTCATAAATTTTATCCTTTCATCTTTGTGTTTCATTTGTAAAGTTTGCAGATTCTTCATTTTATTACCAATAAACAAATTAACGGGAATCAATACAAGCATAACCATTAAACCTAACAGTACGGCAAGCCCCAATAATTTCCATAAGAAAATAAGGGCTATAATAATTTGGAAAGGTGCTGACCAAAGCATATTCACAGAACTGATAAACTCAACGAATCGTTCAGCATCTATTGATATCAAGTTAACAATTTCCCCTGTCGATATGTCTTTTTTTGCGGCATTTGAAATACGAAGAGATTTCCGGTAAATTGATGATATAAGGGCAGTCCGTATTCGCATTCCAACAATAAACATTTTGTTCAAGCCTTGTGCGAATATCAACGTTTGGATCGTCGACGCAAACAATAGCAAACATGCATAAAAGTAACCTTTCCATCTTTCTTCCTCTTTTTTTACAAATGATAGAAGCAATCTTCAAATAATTTTTTTTATGTAAATTATCACATCTTTTCATGTTCTTTGTTTAAGCCTAATTTTATTGTGTTTGTTTTAATTATGTAATGATAAAATAATAAAAAAATTAAATCTATACCCAATAAAAAAAATGTTTCATGGCTTGATGGCGGTTCAATAGTATAAAAATTAATTAAATTAAAAAGTTAAAAAAAACAATTAAACTTTCAACTAAAACTTAACAGTTTAAATATCTAAAAGTTTTATACTTACTTCAGAATATAAGGATTAACGAAGAGAAAGCAATCAAAAATAAATTTAAAAATCGAGCCGCACATTAACATAGGCCAAAATGTTCTGATTACAGCAGGTATAATTGAAGCTTGTTTCTTCTTTTTTTTGTTAGGACAGTTAAGTAAAGTCACTTCTTCTGAAACACCCTTGTATGAAGCCTCATGGTAACTAGAAAAGGAGTTTCGCTCATTAAAGAGATTAATATATCATGCATAAAGGTATTTAGTTTTCTACAGAATGTTGTTTGACGCAAAAACTAATTATTTTAAGAATTAAATATAAACTTTTCCCATGGTTCAAAATTAAATTATAAAGTAATTTGCTAATAAATAGTATGTACCTTTCAGAACATCTTTTCCAATTCTTTTCAAAGCAAGGCAAAATTTCATTTGCTCTTTCTTCATGATTTAACTCCCACAAATCAGACTTATTCAATGGGTGTTTAAAACCTCTCCAAATAAGACTATTGAACCACACAAAAGTTATCCTGGAGGGAAAACTATATCTATCCTCAGGCCATAATTTCTATTTAATATTATTGTAGTTTTTAATCAACCTTTAAAACTACCCCTTTATTACAAATATTACCTTTAATCCCGGATATTTGGTGATTTTGGGGACTTCATCAGCAAAACAATTTAAAATTAACATTACAATAGCACCAGCATAATAAATAAAATAAACAACATGGGAATGAAATGAAACTGAGGCCTGATAATTATTTCTTTGTATTTCTGATCTCAACTGTGGTATTCCACATATAACCAAAAGAAACCAAAACATAAATAGCAGACCTGATGATCCAAAACCATTTTTTTTGTTGAAAATTAGTAGAAATGCAGATAAACTCTAAAAATGTTTATGTATATTAATTACTTGTGTGAAATTACTTAGAAATGTAATGTAATTTAATATAAGTATACATAAATTTTCTTAAACATATTTACACCAACAAAGGATAATTTCTTTTAAAACTATCAGTGTAGAAGATAAAATACTTTTTAATTTTCAAAAATAAAAAAAACTTAATTTATTATATATAAATAATTGGAGAAAAATTTATAGGCATACATGTATAAAGATACTTACAAACGTTAATAACTTCAAGATAGGCGTTAATATATCCACTGTTACAATGATGGTTTTTGATAATAGGGGTAGGATAAGCTCAAAAAAAGCCAATGCAATAAGAAACACTGTTATTCCAAGTTTAGTGGCATTGCAGAACTTCCAAGGAATGTCTTTGTTTTTACTACTTCTGAAGAAATATATATCCACAAATGAAAATACCCATAAAAACACACAGGGAATCCATATCAATATAGTTCTTTCAAAACAGTTTGTAAATTTTGGATCCTTTGTATACCATGTTAGATTTAAATTCTAAAATACATTTAAAGTACGAAGCTTTTAAATATTATCATTTGTTTCAAATATAGGTATATTACCCAAAATTCATTTTCACAAATCCTCTCCATTTTATCAAACTGAACCAGAATGTACAAAAGAAATATCGAAACATTTATTCAAATTATTTTAATCAGTAGAACGATAAGATAAAACCGAGGTGATTTACGGCAGCGAAGATGTAAAAATAATTAAAAAGACGTGTTTTTGTATAAAAATGTGTCAGATGTTCGTGATTTAGTTTTTGAGAATAATTTTGAGCAATTAACTATAATCTACAGTAGCTTGGTCAGTTTAGATATCATTAATATCAGTTTTTATTATCTATCCATGATTATCTCTGATCGTCATATGACCGTTATCGTTGCCAAACCCATAGGCATAGATAAGCTCATAGGCAAAAATTAAGATCGATCACATCGATCATGTTCATAACAAACTCAGAAAATAACAATAAAGTGCAATCAACTGCTACGTACAATTAACAAATATTATTGATATAGATAAGAGATATATAGTTACAGATTGAAGAAATATGTACTGTAAGCTGTAAGGTGTATTATATATCTCTAATCTATGATTATTGACAAGCACGCAATAAATGTTAGGTTAATAAAATACTGTGTAATTTGATGTTTTTAAAAAAATTAAAATAAATATGGAAAGTAAACTATTTTTGGATGCTGATGCCTCTATTCTGGAAAAGAATTTAAAGATTATAGTAAGCATTGTAATATAAATGCCAATATATTTATAATTATAATTTTTATCTTTGATAAGAATGACTCAGAAGAAGAACAGTTTGAAAATTTTTTACACCAGACTGCATTGCCAAGCAGAATCGTAAAACCAATGCCTGGTAAACCACATATAACAGACAATATTACTGGTACTTATGACTACTAAATATTTCAGGATTTTGCATAAAATCTAGAGAATTGGGAACAGACACTAAATTGTTTATTAATATTTGTCAGACTGATGCTCTACCTGCCCCTATAGATATTTCTGAAGCAGAATTGAATGAAATCTTAACCACAGATGATCCTTCCCAGTTTCGTGTACCTATGAGCATTGGAAACGTAAGAACAGAAACAGATAAAAAAGGAAACACTGCTAAAGCTGTTGATGTAGCAATAAACTCAACTTTTTTTAATAAGGTTGAACAGAGTTCTTTATTTAAAGATTTCTTAACAGCTGTAGCTTTTGAGGGTGTCAAAAATAAGTATAACATTGCCACAACGGATGAAAGAGTAATTCTAAGGAATAGAAAAGCATTTGGTACTCTCCAAGTACACAGAATACAGCAAAGAGATATTGAAGAGAAGATAAATAATAATAAAGAAAAATCAATTTTCAATAGTATTACTAAAACCAACAATACAAAAGACATTAGACCTCTGATTGAGACAATTTCAAGTACTGAGCTTGAAAATGCTATGACTGGCACAAAAAAGCCACAGTATCGTTTGTACAAGCCAAAAACAGCACAAAATGTTCTTCTAGGAGAATTTAGATTTCCTGATATTGTAAGTTATTTAGTAATAATAACAAAATATTAATAGCAATTATTTTTAGTTTAAATCAGAAGAACTTACTTTAGATGTTGGTGAAGATAGAATTATATTGGAATGTAAAACAAGAAATTATTTATTAGACATATTTCTTCCATGTCTTTTAAATCAAGAACTAGTTCAGTCAGAATTTAACATTGATTCAAAGGTATATTGTATATAAAAGAAACATGGCATTTTTGTAATTATATGTTTTATTTCAGATCTTAACAATAACAATGCCACTGAAGGAAAATGTATGCAGTTAAATTATATTTATTTTAGTAACATAAATTCTGTTTAAAATTTATATTATAATTACAATAATACTAATATAGTATTTGTTATTTCAACATATGCTTAATTTTATATCATTATAGGTTTTCTTTTTGAAAATTTTACTGTAAATACTAGTAATAAATCTTATCACATTATTGCAAACAAAATGGTCTAAACTATCATAAAGCAACCTTCATTTACTTGCTTTTAATTAACTTTCTATAATAGTAGTGTGTATAGTACATCAGATCTTTATTTTGAACCTAATACTATTATTTTCGAAAGGTTAATTAGACAAGCAAAATTAATAAGATTCTTAAAAGTATAAATTAATAAGATATGTAACATGAAATTTAATGTAACAATGGTAACTGACCATTGTTACTTTAAATTTCATGTTACATATTTTCAAAATGTTTCACTGGGACTATGAAGTCATAATTCTGTGCAAAACGTTGGCCTTTCTATTTTTAGAAATTTAAATAAATTAGGGAGCAAATAAATAAGAGAAAATCCAATTACAGCACAAGTGAGGTACTTGCAACCCAAATCAACAAAAGTTTTGTGCTTGTTATCTAATGAATCTTTTGAATTTTTGATTTCAGTGGCATTTTGGCCCAAGAGTGTGCATAAAAATTTATAGGAAACTGATTTTGCTATACTTCTTATGAATAAAAGAAGTACAAATCCCAATGTAGTACGCAAGATTAAACTACCCAACATTGTATAGGATGGCCAAAATATTGCATACGGAGGTATAAGGTCTGAATTGGTCATGTTTCCCGTCTGATAGTTCAGCCATGCTCCTATTAATAATCCAACACATACTGACACAATCATTGTTGTATCACCCCTGTGAAAATATGTTAGTAATTTCAAAGTAATTGAACTTTAAATATAATGGGTACCTTGTTGGTGTCCATTTTCCACTATTAGGATAATATACAATCATTAAAAGAGAAATAACAATCAGAAGAAATGGAGATGTTGGGTTTGTTAAAAAGTAACTGTCTAGTTTATCTATCAGTGGAACTAAAGGAAACATTAACATTATCGATAGTGCTAATCCAGCAAGTACATCCTTAAATGTAAATAATTTAAAAGATTGTTTGGAATAAGTGCTGAAGTAACACATACCAGAACTGTATGCATTCCCAAGTATAGACGGCTTATAGAAACAATGCTGCACCAAACAATGGCGATCACAAAACCAGCTTGTACATTATATTGATAACGGTTCATAGTATACAATATAACAGAAAATGGTATGGAAACTCCTACCATGGCATGTGTGGAAGGCATACCATACTCCAAGGCCCATTTTTTTTGCAATTTTATAACTGGTGGGCCAGGCCTCTCCCATTTAATTATGTCCTTAATTCCCTGACCTTAAAATAGTAAATATAAAATATACATTTTTGCTATTACAATAGGTGACTTACCAATGTACATCACAATTGTCCATACAAGTACCACTCGTCGGCCAACTGCTCCATCAATGTTCCAAAACCAAAATGGTATAAAGGACAAATAAAACATTTCATCTCCTAATTCAGTTCCAAAACAGAACAAATAATACCAGAAATAATTCTTTATTGTATACTTTTGGTTGGTTTGATTAGAAATATTTTTTCTTTCACATAAGTCAACTTCTTTTATTGCCTGAACTCCAAAAAATCTTTGTATGTCAGCCACAAGAGAAGGCCGCTTCAAAAAATTAAAAAGATCCATTTGCCTTCTCTTTCATTACTGAAAGTTCATTAAGAAACTCATTTGTGATTTGCTGTTTTATCATCAACAAACATTTGAAAAATGTAATCTTCATTAAATATAATCTTGAAAATAAATAAGAGTAAGAGTAAGAGTACATATTATATATTTTTACTGATAAAAAATTAATAATTTATGGGTTAAAGTTCAACAGTGTATGTAATTGTAAAGCATAAAATTAATATTAAGAGTGGTGCTGTAAATAAAAACGGTTTTATGAATAGGACAAGCTCAGCGTTAACTTACCAAATTATCAGACAGAAGTAATGTCAGTATTTTAAAATAAATATGTGTAGTTTCAAAAAATTCATTTCATTCAAATGATTTTAATTTTTTCGGTTTTACAAATTCACAGTTACTGACCATAGATAATAGATTTATACTTGATAGATTACTGACTAATGGTTTATTGCTTTTCAAATACAGCATTCTGAAGTTGGGCGCATAGTGCTATAGATCAGTAGTGGGATTTTTTTCTGCAATTCCTTATTTCCCTAAAACAAAAGTTTTCGCCTCACTTTTTTATATTTGTATATTTTATAACTTCTTTTTATAAACTAATTAAACGAAATAATAAGTACTTTTTATTTTTATTCAATTTGGTTTTGTATAAAACTATCTAAAAATAAGTACTCATGCACCTGATTGCAAAAAATTTCAATTCTTCCCTACAATTATTATCTCATATTGCTAAATTTAACGTAAACAGTACAAAAAATTTATAGAACAGTGTTTCAAGGTATCTTAAATACTTATATCAAAACGGATAAATATTACAGTAAGTAAAATGTAGGAGATATTTTCGATTATAAATTTCAAAAAATATATTTTTCTAATTGTAAGTTCCAAACTTTGTTTTTTTCTATAATATTGCCACTCATAAACTTAACAAGTGAGTTAAGTACCACACCCTATTCCAATACACGTGATAATTACTGAAGGGCACGATATTGGTAAAGGGTTGATTCATTTGGTTGGTAACAAGAAGCGTCTAGTAAATTGAATGCTCCAATCCAATCCTCCAATAGCACACTGAAGTTCGCTCTTTTTGGTGGGGAATTTTGGCCGCCATATTCATTATTCGTTGTGCGCGCTTCGAAATCGGGGAGTTGATGTAGTTGGTTCGTGTGGCGTGCCGGCATTGTGTGTTCATTTTTTGTGTTAATATTGGAATAGTAACTTTTCTGGTAAGAATTTTATGTTTTTATCAATTACATAAAGGCTATTCTTTGAAAATATATTGACTTTATTATACAAGAATATTTCAAATGTCGTACTTTTACAAATCCTCTTGATAACTTATTAGAACTACTGCATATATGTACATGTGTATACGTACACAAATGACCGGTACGTTAACCGAACAAAGTAATTTTGTACAATGAAATTATAATGTTCCTTTGTTAGTTTTATGCAGTCCAATTAAGAAAACATTTGTAGGTACGTTTGTTCAAGAATTTCATTGTTCAGTTAAACCAAGTAAATTGTGTTTGATTCATGGAATAATTGATCGGTTATTATTTTTGCAATTTTTCCCTCAATAAAAAAAAAACGCAATTTTAATAGGGATATAAATTTATTTAAATTCAAAATAATGGTTGATAGCAACTCAATTTCTCGGCGAAAAAGTGACGATTTATGTTACGAGAACTGAAAATAGGTGGGTGTATATTATACTTCTTCGACATACGGAAAAATAGGGGTCGCATACAAAGTTTATAGGTAGGTTTGTCTGGCCTCGCATCGAGACAGCTGTTCCCTATGGATCGTTTACACCCATATTCTTTTGTTGTTATGAAGTTAGTTTATTAAAATTATATTTTTTCTCTCAAAAGTATATAGGTAAATGATAAGTATATTTAATATTACGTATATGCTAAGTTTAACGAACCCCCGCAAAACAGACTAAGTAAATTTCTCTTGAAGTCCTTTAAATATGTTGTAAGAAGTGCAAAAGTGTGATTGAAATTTTTATAGGTACCTACGTTTGTTTTTTATGTTAGGAAGATACCTTTTATTAACTTCTACATACGTACCTATAAATCCACTTCACCTGGTAATAAGTGAAAATACTTACGTATGGGTAGAAGGCTTTAGACGTAATATGATAGCAAGTACGTCGATTTATATGTATAGGTACCTATTATCCTTTATTAGGATTGCACGTGTGGTAAAAAAATCCTACACATTCAATTGCATTTATAGTACATTGAACTGCTTTACAACTGACATATTAGTATTAAAAAAAAAATGTTTTTACCACTTCGTTAACACAAAGTTGTAATATATAACTTAAGAGTTTGTTGAATTACAGATACTCCAGTTTAAATAAAAATTACATTGTATTTCCTGTTGTATTAGATAATTTTGAAAGAAAACGTATTTTTAACTTTCATTGTGTTTACTAAATACATTTTAAGAAATACTTTTCTTTATATCTTTGTTAGAGAGTATCTTCATAATTATACATATGCGAAACAAAAAGTTTATCTGAATTCGAAATTTGTACTTCAAACCTAAATTATTTCGTGTTTATTTTACTGTTTACCTTACCACCCAAGATACTACAAACTATACGAATATTGATAGGTGCCTAAGTACTTATGTTTTCTAGAAATTATTAGTTAATCCAATTAGACATTGTCCCGTATTTAATATTTTATTATTTTTCATTGTAACTACTTTCCCTAAAGATACATACCTATACCTATTATAAATATACTCATTTGAAAGAGTTGAATANTAATTATCTTAAAAAAGATAGGTTAAAATCGACGGTAATTACGGGATTCCCCCAGAAAATTCGACTTATCGAAGTTGGCGCAAAATATTTCGTTCGAGTAATCAAGACAAATTTACACGCATTTCCTACTTTTGACGCTATTGCTAATCAGTTTGATTCGACTTATCAAAAATTTGAGTTATCGAAGTTCGACTGTATTGTTTACAAATACAGCACAGTTGTGTCAAAACATTAGCTTCTTCAGGTGTTTAAATGCATTTTCTGCTGTTTGCAATGAAGAAAGGTCTTTTATTCCATCCATTGCAAACTTATTAATCTTTAGCATTAGTTTAAAGATTAGCAGAAATTGAGTTTAGTTTCATTTTTACGATGCAGTTATTGAGTATTATCTGGGGTACAGAAAGGGACATTGGGTACATTTTATCCAGAAAAAACTACTGTTCCAGAGGGTAGAAAAAATTTAGTTTTATGTGGTCGTCGATGATCTTTGACCCGTATTTAGGGCATCAACGCGAGCGACGCCGCGGGTAAAAGTTAGTGGGTATATAAATATAATATTATTCGCTAGAAATATTTATTACACATACTAAAACTCTTGTAGATAGACAAGGGTGGAAAGGTACGTTAAAAAAGAAATTAGTGCCTAGGCTACAGTAAAAAGAGGGTACAGATAATAATTTTTAATATTGAGTTCTGGTGTAGAACGGTGATTTGATAAGTTGTTATTACTTCTTGGTAGCGAATAAACATAATTAATATCATCTGTCAGTTGCTGAAATTGACTTGTGATTTCTTATTTCCTTTTGCAATAAGAATTCACAAATGCCAACATAATTTAATTTCAAATCAGGGCAACATTGCCATTCAAAAAATTAGCCTTCTAGAGGTGTACAATTTTTTGCAACTCCATACAGCCAGAATCGACCAGAATCCTTTTTGGAACATTCATTTGAAATAATAAAAATTAATTAGAAGAGGTAGGAATGTTTTCGGAACAATTATCAATTTTAGTTACTTACAGGAAATGTTGGGAAATGATTCGATTAGTGTCAATATGTTTATTATCTTTATAAAACTAGTTATCATTCACACCCAAAATTTAATAAACAATAGTTTTTCCTCCCAGCTTAAAGTAACGAAGATGTTAGTGAAAAACTGTCTTGGATGTTTTCGCACTGCCTTTTTAACAACAAACAGTATTTTCATACCAGATATTATTTTAACTATAAAACAATAAAAAATTGTATAATAAATCGTTTCACTTCCTCATTATCGTTTGTTAAAGCCTTATGGACATTTTCTACAATCGCAATTTAACGTTGTTCCGCTGGATTGACCTAGCTTAACAAGCTATCGGTTGGTTGTTGGGCTGCACGTTACACATTGTATTATTAGTAGGTTTGCTTGTATGTACATACATGAATGTAACGCAAGTACTATTGGTTTATCTATTGGTCTACCTTCATACATCCCGTACATAAGTTATGTACATAAATGGTGGACGTACTGATGCAAATGTCAATGCACTTAAATTATTTTGGCACTCAATTGCTAACACGTTTTTAAAACGATCTTGGTGTTATCTAAAGGGTCTAGCTAGCATGCATTTAGCAACATATTTCGACATCCTGTACCGCAATGGTAAAACATGAAATTATATGAAAATTTAGGTCCAGAACTAATTGATAATTCCATCGAAAAGATTGTGCATATCATTCAGCTAATGACATTTTTAAATAAAGTTAATTTAAAATTCTGTTTAAAATTTTATCGATGTTTCTATTCCAGACTTCGGAAAATCTGCTTCATCGCTATTGATCCTTTTACTAAATTAAAGAAAAAAAAAACAATTTTTACACCCACTCCCTGTGCCTCAACCCCGTCAGTCTCAACTTTCACCACTACTTTTTTGGGATTATTTAAAGTCAGCCCTAACTCATCCACCCTCCATCAACCTTACTTGAGGGAGCGTCCCACCATCTAGACATTTACCATTTTTATTTTTAGCTTCCACCTCCCACGCCTACCCATCAACCCTCCCACTAATTATCAATAGGGACGAAGTCTTTGGATCTTTTCCTACTCCCTCCAATTCCCACCCCCGTCCAGACAGACTAATATCCCATTTGAACATTACGAAACCGAATGTTGTCTTTCATAAATTTTGGTGTAAGTAATAATGAAAATAAAAGAATAGTTTTACTTACCGTTTTCTTAAATATATATTTAGTTATCTTGTCAACACTCGTATTACTTACGAGTCGCTACTGATTTTTGTTTTATTTCAAGTTTTTTTTAAATTTTTGATAAAACTTTTATAATTAAAGGATAATAGCATTGAGTAGTTTGGGATAACCAGAGATACATGCAATACAAAAGCATGCATAAGTCGTTTATAGTATGTTAAAGATGTTTCATCATAAATTTGATAGTATAATCGTAGAGAAAGCGAAGTATAGCAATTTTCATCGTCTCTATTTTGGACGTTGTTACATAAATGCAAACTTTTTTACTTTTTTGTATCATTACTGCTATTTTATATCTAGCTAGCATGGAATTTGAGTAGTATTCCAGTTATAAACAGCGTCTGAGTGTAAACATGAGATATAACGGCTCGATACTTTTTAAACAAAACACGTTTGAACAACATTTATTATTGACGTTCCACGATCCCAAGAACCATAATAATGTCGTTCAAGTGATAA